TTTATTCTGTGACTTATTCATTCCATAACTGAAAGCCTGTATCTCCTACTCCTCTTCAAATTTCTTAATGCATTATAAGAAAGCATAACCACGATGGGCAGTGCATGTCTATCAATTAATTTCCTGCATCAATTAATTTCTGTGTGCCAGTTTCCTCATGTGAAAAACGAAAACCTTGCCACCAACACACTTCTGAGTCTATTGTGAGGAAAGAATTTTAACAAGTTTGTGTAAATCTGACATCATAAAATGAAAAGCACAATAAATTTCACTCATCATGAAGCCATATCCAGTATATGACACCAAAAAGAAAAAAACAAAAAAGCAGATGTGTCTGAGCCAGGCTTTTATTCCCCACAAAGGAATTAGATATTTATACCCAGTACAAGTGATGAAATTACCACTCTCTTTCTTCCAACATAAAAAAAAAAGAGAGAGAGAAAAGCAAAGACATAATAGCTAACACTTGGGTGGTACTTTAAATTTATAAAGTACTTTTATATGTTATGAATTGCAATTTTTGTAACAAACTTGTTAAGTAGAATTTTTATTTTACATCTGAGGAAAATGAAGCCCATAAAGGTGACTATAACAGGATTGCTCAGCAAGTCTGAGGAGGAGCAGTATTTGGACCAGGAATTCCATCTCTGAAGTTTTTCCACTTTCCACCAAACCAAACTAGAATAGCAGATTCTTTGATAACAATATACACCTGGGGGCACCTGGCTGGCCCAGTCGGTTAAGCATCCGACTCTTTGATTTCGGCACAAGTCACGATCTCAGTGTCCTGGGATCAAGCCCCATGTCAGGTTCTGTGCTCAGCAGGGAGTCTGATGAGGATCTCTCTTCCTCTCCATCTGCTCCTCCCCCCTCCTTTAAAATAAATAAATAAACAAATCTTAAAAATATATATATACACCTTGGAAATCAGATAGTCTGAGTAATATCCTGGGCTGGACTAACCCCGGAGTGATTGGCTAAAGCTCTGAACTTCATTGGCCACTGGTCTTTCATTATCATCTTCATCTTCCAACCTACCCTCAACTTGTCTTCTGGACTTTTTTGGCACTTCATATGCAAATGTCCTCTTTGTACTATGAGGACAGTGATGGAAGGGACTGGGTCTTATTCATGTTGCTTCATAATAGCTCACATATAAGAGACTCTAAACCAATAACTGTTTAAGTGAATTAAGTCATCAATTCATGCAAAAAAAAAAAACAAAATGTCTTGAACACTTACTTTGTGACTTAGTGCTAGCTCAGTAAACAGGACAGAGAGAGTCCCTGCCATCATGGAGTTTATGGACAGTTGTTGAATATCTAACAACAATAATTATGGTAACTTGAGAAGAGCTGTAGCTTCCCTGAAGAAAAGACATTGAATCTGCCTTCTAAGGTTGAAGGGGAGGGACCATTTAAGGGATGGGGAGGAAAATGCAGCTGAGGCAGAGAGACCTGCACATGCACTATGATGAGGAAATGCATTCTCTAAAATCCTGTATCTTATGGAACTACCATGGCTCAGAACCAAATCTAATAATGATATTGGATTTTCAGGATAATATAGGCATTGAAACAGATTCAAATAACGTCTTCATGTAGATAAATCATGTAGGCTTTCAGATCTTTAGAACATTTCAGTAAATTTATTCAGCCTTCCTATAAAAATAGGGGGTAAGTATATGGTTCTCTCTCTTTTATCTGAAACTAACCATTTTACGTCATAGGTAGAGATTCGATATTCTAATTGCTGTCAAGCCTGGTTAAGAAACTGGATTCTTATGAAACCAGTAGAAAATGTTATAAAGATTTATTTAGTCACAGCTGTTTTTACAAAGTTGTATCAAATTTTATAGTTATATTCGTACTTCCAATTGTAAATTAAGTCTTTATTCAGTGGGATTTGGGGAGTTGTTATATAAGGTATCATGTGGTATTCCATGTTGTAGAAAACACAATAAATCACATTGCTTTAATGGCAACTGCTTTATACATGTAATTAAAACAAGATGTTTGCACAGCCTATAATTTTACAACTTTAAAGCTTGACATAAAACTTATACACATATGTAAACTGCCAGAAAGACACATGCTTTTATTATATGTAGACAGATAATAACCACTGAGAAATCTCTATAAGATATTGGTATGTCCTGAATTTTGCCCCTCAAAATTTGTGTTGAAGCCATAACCCCAGTACCTTAGAATGTGACTTCATTTGGACACAGGGTCTTTAAAGAGATAGTAAAGATCAAATAAGGATCAAATGAGGTCATACAGGTGGGGCCCTAATCCAACAGGACTTGTGTCCTCATAAGAAATAGAAAAAACACCAAGGATGTATGAGTACAGAAAAAAAGGCCATGTGAGGACAGAGTGAGAAGGTGACCATCTGTACGCCAAGGAGAAAAACCTCAGATGAGACCAAACCTGATGACACCCTGACCTTGGACTTCCCAGTCTCCGGAACTGTGAGGAAATTTCTGTGGTTTAAGCCCCCCAATCTATAGTATTTTGATACAGCAGCTGTTATAGACTAAATTATTTCCCACCAAACTTCCTATGTTGAAGCCCCATAACCTGCAATGTGACTGTATTTGAAGATAGGGCCTTCATGGAAGTATTAAAGGTTAAACGAGGTCATAAAGGTTGGATCCTAATCCAATAGGACCAGCACCCTTATAAGAAGAGAGACACAACCAGAGAATGTTCCCTCTATGTCTGCGTCCACAGAGAAAAGGACACAGTGAGAAGGCAGCTATCTAAAAGCCTGAAAAGAGAGGTCTTACCAGAAACTGGATTTTCAAACACCTTCATCTTGCACTTTGAGTCTCCAGAACTGTGAGAAAATTGATTTCTGTTGTTTAAGCCCCCCAGGCTGTAGACTTTGTTATGGCAGGCCAAGCAGACTGATACAGCAGCAAACTAACACAGATATATATTTTAGTCATAAATACGCTTTTACAAGTATATGCATGCACATGCGGACTGCCTAGGTGTAGTGGAATTATCTAGAGTTGTATTTGAAAACAGTGGGAAGACTCTTATTATGGCTTTGCATATTAAAATTTTTGTTAGCTTAAAAATGAGTATGCATAATTTATGTTTATGCAGCCAGACTGTATTTGGATATAAATTAGGAAAAACAGAATTGTTTTTATGAAGTGCAGTCAGTATATGGGTACCCTCAAAGGAAAAATGTTTTGGACATATTCACGAGTTGATTATTTCAGCTTTCAGACAGAACGTAAGAGGCTGGACTTAATCTACCTGCAGTCATCAAAGAAGCTCATTAAACTTTGGACTCCACTGGTTCAAATTAAACTTTTTACATGCACTGTTATATTCCTGTCACTTTTCAAGTTACCTTAAGGAGCTTTTTGTGAGTTTAATTAAGCCTGACTAATTCTCTAACAGCACAAAGAAAGATGAATTCCTTAAATATTTAATCCATTTATGACTCCAAGTGTCATTTTCCGAATGTGGCTGTTAAATTCTTGGAATTAATTACCCTTTGGATTAAAGCTGCTTTTTCAAGACATATAGTCACAGCTCACACAATGCGTAAATTCAATATTTCGTCTGTTCATCAAGAGAATTTATTCCAAATGCTGTATTTAAAATCCCAACCTGGCAGGCTTATCTATGACCACGGAACTCAGGAATCTTTGACTGTAAGCTTCCTTCCAATCAGGTTCTTGGTCTTCCTTCCGCTGCCCGTTTCAGCCAAGTATTAACAAGCTAAAGGTTAGCTGCCCTCCACCTGCACTATCTCCATTCTTTTTCATTGTTAACTCCCTCCCTTCTCCTTAACTCATGTTCAAGCCCCGTCTCCTTCAGAAAGCTCTTCCCCTATTACAGTCAGCAGACAACATAACATAATCCTAGGTCCCTCCGTCCCCGTTGTATCCTCCTAAAACACTGAACACGCCATGACTTGAACTACACATTTTCTATTTGTTCTCTCCCAGTATTTTGAAGGCGACCCAAGACTGGCAGCTGTGTTCCTCAAGACTAGATCCCCCAAGAAGACAAGAACAATCAGGCAACCACATCCACAGAGCAGGTAATACCCTCAGAACCAGAAAACTGGAAAACTGGACCCGCGAGGGGACAGAAAACCACACGCATGGTCGTACGCACGCACGCGCGCGCGCACGCACGCACGCAGCCACAAAGATGGAGGCACACAGGCACAACACCTGAGTGCCTCATGATTTGTTAGCGCTCCACAGTCATTCCCCTGCTCCCAGCCCCATGCCAGATGCCGAGGTTGCGGGAGCTGCTGGTTGACTCAACTTCTAATGGAAAAAGCTGCCTTTTGACTGAAATTCAAATTCGCTGACGGATGTTCAGAGATTGATAGATTATAAATTATCTATTTAGCTCTCACATTTACAAGTCTCAATTTAGGGAAAGCTTCTCTTCAGACATCGTTTTCTAGCATTAGCAATATAAACAGTCACTGAAAAAGATTTCCAGAACAATTCACTGAGCAGTCTTCCTTTCCTTCCATCGCCACCTCCCACAAACCTCTGATTTAAAATATAAGTATTGGGCGCCTGGGTGGCTCAGTTGGTTAAGCGACTGCCTTCGGCTCAGGTCATGATCCTGGAGTCCCGGGATCGAGTCTCACATCGGGCTCCTTGCTCAGCGGGGAGTCTGCTTCTCCCTCTGACCCTCCTCGCTCTCATGCTCTCTGTCTCTCATTCTCTCTGTCTCAAATAAATAAATAAAATCTTTAAAAAAAAAATAAAATAAAATATAAGTATTTACATCTAAAATATAAGACACAAAATGGCATGTTAGAATCTCCATTTCCAGGCACTTCCTATTAAAACTAAAAATGTGTTATAAAAATACTTGTGTTGCAAAGAAAAATAGGAATAGGAATAGGCAACAACGAATTAGAAGGGAAAACACTGCACTGCCCTGGTTGTTGGGACCGAAGTAGCCAGCACTGGGGGGCCAGGGGCGCCCTGGGGGGCAGGTACCTACCGCCTTTCATCATGCCTACTTCATAGCACTTGCGGAGCCGGCAGGCCTGACAGCTTTTCCTCCTGTTCTTGTCAATCGTGCACTGGTTGGTAGCTGGACACATGTAGTCATTATGTCCTATTAAAAGCAAGAGGACAGAATTAATATTATTTCAGGAAACGTAGCCAGGCAGAATCTACAGGGAAGCCGCCTGGGGGATGTTTTCCTATCACTTACTTGGCCTGACTGTGCTGCTAGCTCTGCATATGCCATCCCTCTGCTGCCCTTCTCCAAGTCGCGGGGGGGGGGGGCGGAGGGAAATCTCTCCTAGACTTGATTTTTGCCTCTGCCAACTGCTTCAGGAGTTCTTTGGGCAAATCACCTTCAGTTCACACAGCTTATATTTGGGGGCAAAAGGCTTTATATACATTCACACATTTTCTCAGCAAATAAGGCTTTTTTTTTTTCTTTGACCCACACCACTAGCTAAAAATCCTTGTCGGAGTAACACTGTTAGAACTTTCAGAGAGTTTCAAAGTTTCTTAAAATAGAATTTAGAAAATCTTTAGGTAGGTATTCAAATGCAGCCTGGAACACCTAAATTCAAGTGGGGGGCTGTGAGCTGGGGTGGCAGCAAAGATCAGTCCTTATTCACTTATTAGCTGGAGAATGCTGAGTGGGGTAGTTAACATCTCTAGGTCTCACCCCTCTCTAACCTGGAGAAAATAAGGGCGCCTGTTATGTGGCACTATTCTAAGAAGTAAATGTCAATACCTGTCAAGGGCTTACCACAGTGCCCGGGATATGGTGAGCACTCAATAAATATTTGTTGTTGCTACTGTTACTTTATTATTGATCCTCTTTCTTTTACCCCTTGTTTACTGCATCTCTCTTGCTCAAATGGTCTTTCTCATTCACGTTCATCATGTGCAACTCCCGGGACCTCACATCACTCTCAAACTTTCATCTTACCTCCCACCTCTTCTTCTCAGTTCAACTCCTCAGAAAGGTCTACACACTTGAGGTCTGCTTTTTCCTCACCTCTCCTGCATAGCTCAACCCATGCCTGTTTTCTACCTTAGCTGCCCCACAAAAGCTGCTTAAATCCTTCTATCAAATGACTCCTATTGCTGAATTCAACAGATATTTTCAGTCCACATCATACTTGACCTATCAGAGCATCTGACAATTCCTCCCTTCCTCTTGAAACATGCTTTTCCCTTGGCTTCCATAATGCAGAACTCCCCCCCGTGTTCCTTCCCCCTCAGGCTGTGGCTTCCCAGTGTTACTTGCAGATTCCCTCCGTTCAACATTAAGCTAGAGCGGCACAGGGCTCAGTGTCAGGCCCTTCTTATGACTCCAAATTTTCCCACAAGAGAATTTATTCCATGGCTCCGTCTTCCACAGTCATAAACTCAGATGACTTGCAGATTTGTACTCCCAGCCCAACCCTCTTCTCTGAGTTCTGAGTACATACAGCCAATTGCCCACAAGAAGTTTCTGCTCTAAAATTTAGAGGTCACCTCCATTTCTTTAGCCCTCAAAAGAAGTCTGGTTTCTAATGTGGAGTATATTAAACTCCACAGATTAATAAACATTGGCATGTTTTTATGAAGAAGTCCATTTATATAAGTCTAAATTCTTATACCTGAATTTAGACCATGGAGATGATGTGGACTATTTTAAAATGTTTCCCGTACTCAAAAAAAAAGAGGAAATATTGCACCTTCTAATTCAGATCATCTGTATCTCTATTTTCCATTCACCAAGGGCAAGATGCAACATGTACTGAAGTGTTTTCACTACAGAACTCTTTGTTCTTTATTCAACTTAAGGGTCAATCTCAATTAGAATAGGGTGGAGTTGGGCCTTAACAAGAAATGTTGGTCTCATAAAACTTGTTTCTCCATCTTTAGATATACATTATAAAAGTACTATATAAACAGGCTTCCGATGAAATTAACACGCGCATTCTTTTTTCGCATCATAGGAACCAGCAAACTAGCTAGCAAAACTGTAAACTGACCACTTTAGTAAGAGACCACACACTGCCTCAAATATCCAGGCACAATTTTCATGTTTAGAACTGCCCTTATTAACAGGGACAAGATGAGGAAATCATAGAACCAGAAACAAAATTTACCTGGGCAGACATTAACTTTAAGCAAAAGTTGCTGTCTTGTGACACCTCAAAGAAACTTTCAGTGTTTTGTCCCCTATGATGCTTATGCTGTACATGCTGATTTATTTTAACTCTAAAAAAATGAGTCTATATTAAGTCTCAGAAGAAAACAGTCAATAATCATCCGAACCAAAAATTAACTTTGATTTCCTTTCCTCTCAAAAACCAGTTATTTTGCAAGCCAGAAGACGGGAGAACTGAATTGCATCAGAGGCCAATTGGCGAAATGTTTTATGTTTGCATTGGCCATCATTATAGATGTGTATCTTTATAGAACCAAGTGAAATTCCTGAACTAACATGTTTAACAGATAAAATACACTGGATTTGTGCAACTGAATTCATCCCTTAACAAGAAAGAAAATAGATGCACAGCGGAATCATGTTTGTAATACAAGCCTTAGGTGAAAAAGTGGATTTTCTCCTGCTCTAACTACATTAAAATTTAGAATTGGTAAATTGGCAACAAGAAAAAATGAACAGGTACATATCTGATGTATGAACTATAAGTTTAGTACCTTAACTAAACACCATTAACAACTATTTATAAGTCTTCAACTGACATCAAAGAAGGAAAACAGCAAGGTAGGTTTTTATTCTTTGAGGATAATAATTTTGTAAAGGTGTGTTATTTTTTCTTTTTTCAAATAGGCTCCACACTGGGCAGGGCTCGAACTCAGGACCCTGAGATCAAGACCTGAGCTGAGATCAAGAGTCAGATACTTAACCAAGTGAGCCACTCAGGCACCCCAGTAAAGGTGTGTAATGAAAGCAATTGAAGCAATTAAAAAGTTAGTTTCTTTAAGAAGAAACTTCACTCGAAACTTTATTATTTGTTCTTGTGAAAACAATGTTTGCAAAAATTCTATCCTATTGGAGTAGAGCTAATTAAAAAAAAAAAAAACTTACACTGACTGTATGAATGAAACAGTGTTTTCACTGGAGACACTGAAGAACTCCACGTGTGTGTGACAAGACCAGCCCCAACATGCCTTTTACACAGGCCCAGATGAAGTGTGAAAGGCCAAAGCCAAGATGTGAGGCTCAGGTGACATCTTGGAGAAAGAATCACTATTTTGTTGCCCAGCAAAAAATAAAAATAACGCCTTTGGACTAATGGGTCTGAATAACTGGGAGTGGAGAGAAGAGGAAATGGATGAAACCTAAGCAGAAAGCATGAGGAGCAGGAACCTGCAGGCCAAGCCACACAGCTCCTGGGCCAGCAGATGGGCACACATACAGCTTTTCTCCACCGGTCTCTGGGATTCCTTCTCTCGACTTTTTGTTTTTCCTTTTCTTCCTATTTTACCCTCTGTCAGTAGCAGCTGTTTTTGCCTTGTTACCAACCCGTAGAAAGACGACACTTGCTAGTTACAAAAATAAGCAATGACCCATAGTCAGAGATTCAAAAGAAATATAAAACAGACCAAATGGGAAACAAGCAGGTGAGGACTCAGAGAAAAGGAAGCCCTCGCGCACTGTTTGGTGAGAATGCAAACTGGTGCGGCCGCTGTGGAAAACAGTATGGCGGCTCCTCAAGAAATTAAAAATAGAGCTACCCTACGATCCAGTGTTTCCACTCCTGGGTATTCACCCGAAGAAAACAAAATCATTAACGCAAAGAGGTATCTGTACCACCATGTTCATAGCAGCATTATTCATCGTCGCCAAGGTATGGAAACAACCTAAGTGTCCATTGACAGATAAATGAAGAAAGAAAAGGTGGTATTTATATATTTATATAAATATATTGTGGAATATTATTCAGCCTTAAAAAAAGAAAGAAATCCTATCATTTGTGACAACATGGATAAATCTGGAGGGCATTAGGTTAAGTGAAATAAAGGCAGACACATATGCATGGGGTCACTTCTGTGGAGTCTTGAGACTAATAAGGTCTAAGGACCTGATGTATAACATGGTGACTATAGTTGATCACACTGGTATCACTGAAATCTGCTCAGAAAGTAGAACTTAAATGTTCTCCCCACAAAAACGTAAACACATGAGGTAATGGATGTGTTAAATCAGTGGAGGGAACCCTTTCACAAAATATAGGTATAGCAAATCATCACAAGGAACACTTTAAATATCTTATAATTTTGTCAGTTATGCTTCAATAAAGCTGAAAAAAAAAAATAAAACAAGCAGTATCCTGAGAGAAACTTAACATTGGGTATCTTTCCTTGTGCCACACTTTTCCCTCAGCCTATTCTGGAGGTCATCTCAGAGCAAATCTCTTTTGCCGAATTTCACACCCATATACCTACCTGCCCACGGTCCATTTAGACTTCACGTTTTCATAGCCTATTCAAGATGGATGTGTCCCAAACACAACTGATGGCCATCTCTCCTCATCAGTCTCTTCTTTTTTATAACCACACCACAAAGCCTGAGACCTGGCGTTATTGCAAGACTCTACCCTCTTCCTCACTTGAACCCTCACACACATGCACACACTGATCAAATCAATTATTTTTAAATTCGTTTTCAAAGCAAAATCAATTTTTCCCTGGGCCCACCATCCCTACCATAACTCATACCATCTCCAGCCCAGATTATCTCAGCAGCCCACTAAGCCACCCTGCCTCCAGCCTTCCCCTGCCAACCATTCCCCACTGTGTTGCCAGGTGATTCTTCTAAAATCATACACCACCATGCCACTACCCTGCTTTGATATTCTGATGCTCCTCAAAGCTCTAAGGATAAAATCTAAATGCCTTAAAACAGCTTATCAAGCTGTTCCTGATCAGCTCCTACCTCCTTTCCTGACCTTATCTCTTCCACTCTCTAAGTTCTAACCATGTCCTGTTCTAACATAGCCTTCTCCTTCTCACGCCCAGGACTGCACACACCGTTCTTTCTTATGGGAACACACTTCCCCTACTCTTAAGCCCAACTGACTCCCATTAATCTTTCAGGTATGTCAGTCGAGATATCTATTCCTCTGGGGTTCC